ACCTTTTTTTTTTTGAAAGATTAGGGGATAGCTAAAACCATGTCTGTTTTTATATGTATTCTAGTAGAGAGATTTATCTTTAGTAGAGTAGGTGAATCTCGGACAACGATAAATGCCTGACAGGGATTACAACATGCCCCTGCTTTATCCTAGAAAAAGTATTGGCTTTAGATATACTTTAAAATCTTATGACTATATGTGGAAGCAGGCGCCCTACTACAAAGTTCAGGGATACCAATATTAGGACATAAATTGGAATAACTAAATATTAGGAAACCTTAACAGAACATCGATCCAATTCACTTAAGTGCTACTGCTAACCTACAAGGAAAGCCTCAAAAACATGCATTGTCATGAACAATTAAATCAGCTGCTACAGAAACAGGTATTTTCTTTTCTATGTCGTTTCCTAAATTAGACACTTCTGGATCTCATATTTGCCCCCTTTCCCTGATTTATCTAATTTCTCCTTAGTATTGCCTCATTTCTCTTCTTTATAATTTTTTTCTCCGATCCTTTCCTTTCTCTCTGCAAGCTGATGCCATGTATAAAGGTTTCTCATAAATATTAATATTGACAAACATAAATTACCCTTTATGTGTCAGTTACTCAAAGCTTATTTTTATTATTTGTTGTGCAACTTTTTTTTCTCTCTGTATTGTCAGATTTATTAATTAATTTAGGTTTGGAAAGCCCTTAAAATTCACTTACTTTTAAATGCTGTTCCTGCACTCCCACTCCAGTGCTCTGGGTTGGCAAAGAAAAGTAACAGACACACCTGTCATAATCACAAACACTTGATGGGGAAAATAGTGGGGATGTGTGACCAGGTCTGAATGTGGAGTACACTGGGCAGCCTGGTCAAACACTCGTGCCTCTTGGATTTCACAGTCATATTTAGAGACAATGCATAATTGCTATAGAAAAAAAGTAAAAGTAAAGCTAGGAAAATGATGTTTATGGTCATCCACACCTTTTGTAGTTAACCGGATATTTGTTTAAATTTTAAAACATACTTTATTAATATACATATTTCTATTTGACATTGCAGAGATGCCCGTGACAAGACCAATTCAATGTACTGATGCCGGAGACCAAATATCCTCACAAAGTCCTTTATTTGGGCAGACAGGAACAGAAGCACTTTCAGTGGAAACCACAAAGTCCATGACCGAGGATCTATATCAGCCATTGAAAACAAAAGACAAATCCGCATTCTCATTTGATTGTGATATACGGCTTCCTCCTAACAAAGACCAGTACAACGTCCTAGCCAGTAAGGATGACAAATCAGGACTTGCCAAATCTATGTCACATACAGATGTCAGCCTGGATGAAACAGAGATAAATTGCAACTTTGCATTGTTCATCAAAACATATGCACCAACATTCCCCAAAGTGCCTGGTGTTGGAGACCAAACTATCCCTGCAATGTCTGACATGAACTTTTTAACAATGGATCCAGATACCACCCTTAATTTATCTAATGTAGATGAAGAACTGTGTTTTTTGCACTCAAGAGACATGTCACGAGTAGCTCTTCTGGAACCAAAGATCAACAATTTTAGTGTAGTAAGAGGCCCAGCTCAGGTAAGCTAACAAAGCATAACTCCTAAACCATACCTCTTAAAGCATATCTACTGTGAAAAAAAACCAATTCCCTCCAGGTGATCTATGTGCCCTGCAAGGATTTTAACAAAATATGCTGCAGAATCCTACCTCTTTCTGTCCTGAAGAAATGGCTGTTTGTTTTCTCATGTCTTTTCCAAACTGCTTCCTAAATAGGAGGTCCAGCCTTCATTATAACTAGAGGTGCCCCGAAATGAAAATTTTAAACCGAAAACAAAAAAAATGTCAGGCTGAAACCAAAAAAAAATTTTTTCTAACCTTTTTACATTTTTTACAAACATTTTTATTTGTATTTATTTTTTGTAAACTTTTAATTTGTTTATATTTTATTTATTTAGATTAAATATTTTTTATTTTTTTAACTTTACTGTGGTGGCTGAAATATCAGAGGTCTAAACAGATCCCTGATACTTCCCTTTTAACCAGTTGACATCCGGGGTGTTAAACCCTCTTCCCATCCAGGCCATTTTTCAGTATTCAGCGCTGCGGTACTTTAACTGACATTTATTCCGTCATGCAGCGCTGTACTGAAATGAATTTTATACCCTTTTTTGGGGACACATAGAGCTTTATTTTGGTGGTATTTAATCACCACTGGGGTTTTTATTTTTTAATATATTAAGGAAAAACAACACATTTAAAATAAAAAAAAAACAGTTCCCCCTATATTAAATTCTAAAACATTTATTATTACCAAATTTTTTGGTAAAATATAAAAGACGGGGTCACGTCGGGTAAAGAGACACCAAACATGTCAAGCCTTAAAATTGCGCATGCGCGCGAAACCTCAAAAAAACTACATTACCCAAAATTGGCCATAGGCGACGCATTAAAAGCTTTTACCGCTCATCAGTTTAGTGTTATCAGTAATTGATGGCCCTAAAATGATTGCTCTCACTGCGACGTTCGCGACGATACGTAACATGTGTAGCGCAATTGTCATTTTCGCGCGCTGGCGCATGCGACGCATATTTACGTTTATATGTGCGTAAACGAAGGGGGGGGTTTACTTTTTTGTTTGTGACTTTTATTTTTTTAAACTTTTTATTTATATAGATTTTTTTTTTATTTTTTTTTACACTTATTGTTATTGCTATTACATAGGGGGATACCATCCCCCTATATAATAGCACAGGTACACTGACAGGTCCTCTTTATGGAGACATTAGGGGTCTCTAGACCCCTAATGTCACCTGGAGACCCCAAAAGAAGCTGATGAAGCACAGATTTGCTTCATCAGCTTCTTCTCTCTGGCAGTAGGAGCCAGATGACTGACAGGTGAATGCGGAAGTGATGTAATACACATCACTTCTGCATTCACACTACAGAGGGAGAACAGCAAGGAGCTGATCTCCCTCCCTCCTTCTCCTGACGCCCTCCCGAGCCGGTCCCGGGCCGCAGATGGGCTAGCGGATCCCGGGATTAAAGGTGAGGGGTCAGGAGGCTGGAGATGGCGGCACTCGCGATTGGGGGGGCACTCCGAAATTCACGCTATTCAACCGATCGGCGGCTATAGAGCCGCTGATCGGGTGTATGTGAAACAGCCGTTAACGGCTGTAGTAACGAGCGGGTCTTTCCTGCCCGTGCGCGTGCGAGCAGGAAAAAAATGCCGTCTGGAGACGGCAACCCGCTGATGCGAGTCTGCCGTCCGTCCGTTTTTTCTTAACGGGCGGACGGCAAGAGGTTAAAATAGGAAAAGAGATTGAGGACACAATTTGAGACACTCTTTCTCTGCATCCCCTGTTATAAATGAACAGGAATCCTCTATACTGAGTGTTCCTGTTCATTCATACATTGTGGATATAGTATTAGTTACTATGTACACAATTATGATGGAACAGGAAGTGATGTATAGCACTTCCTATTCATTCATAACTGGTACATAGTAACTCCTACTATGTCCAGGTATTTACAAACAGTACCGCTCTCCATCCTGACTCAATTTCACAGCTGAGCCAGCAGTACGGGGATGAGAGCTCGGCCTATTTTGACAGCTGACTCCTCCCCCTCACCGCCGGCTCGAGCTCATATGACAGCGCACGGCTGTCTCCGCCCCCACATTGCTCTCCATTCTGATTGGTCAGAAGTGACATTGCGGCTCACGGTGCTCTCCTCCCCCGCACCGCCTCCTCTGACAGTTTCTCTCCTCCCCGCTGGACGCTGCGCTGTGTGAGGGGGAACACAGCGCAGCGCCCAGTGGGGAGGAGAGAAACCAGGCATACACTGCAAGTTTGTCGGAAATATGGCACTTTCTGCATTTTGGCAAAAGTGCCATGTTCGGACGATATGTTTCAGCGGCCGAAATTTCGGTGCATCCTTAATTAGAACCACCCGAGCAAAACTCATTATTCTAATGAGAAAAGCTACAGCGTTCGCATCCCTTTAGTAGACTTAGGAAGTATTTCTATTAAAGCTTTTGTAGGGGATGCCTAAAATTGAAAGTGGAATTTTACTTTATCTCCTGGGCATATTGTATGTGTACCTTGGGAGAGCTTTACCATTTCACATGCTGTTTTAATAAACACAGTGGAAGCTGTTGTGCCCCTTATAGCTTAGTCTAGTCCCCCTCTCATAAAGAACGGTACTCTTAAAAAAAGTTAAACAAATAAGTATCCAGTATCAGCAAG